TCTGCGCAGTTCTCCAAGTAGCAACTTCAACAGGCCCCAGTCACTCAGTACTTCTGTTAAAAGACCACTATGCACGGTAATCCTGATAAAATTAAAATGATTGAGGGTTTTTTCTTTATGTTCATTTAGTATGCTCACAATTAATTTAGTTTACATACCTATGGAAACATACAACAGCAGCGACTCCAAACTCCAACCCATTAATTTGTTGTAATGTTGCTCCTGTCCACATCTGCTTCAGTACAGTGAGCACTGCCCGCAAGGTCTCATGTGGGATAAAGTTTAATTTGAATATTATCTACAAAAAACCATACAATAATTAACTCTATACGGTGTACATGTGATTACTGCACAAACAATGCATGTGACAGTGATTACCATTTCTAAGAGAGAGAAAAATAGTTTATGTACAGGAGCTGGTTTAGACAACACACAAGAGGCCAACTGAGTCACTGTCTGGGCTGACCACTCCAAAAGAAAAAAGTTTGCAGTCTCTTTTTCCCAAATCTTCTGGATGGTTTGGAGGATGTGGCAACACAACCAAGAGTCCTGAGATCGCAGTAGTGATCCTTGCAGCAGGCGAAAGGCTGGGAGATTCTTAACAACTGAACCTACAAACAAAGTTTTCATTAACACACTCACTGTAACAACATTTTTTGTTTAATACAACAAAGAAAACTGATGTCCAATGATCAAACCAATATTATTTTTGTTGGAGTAAGGTGATACAGATTTTAACAATTTAAATATATTTAAAAAACAAAAAACTTTTCCCTATGTTTGATAGATGCTTGGTGATGTGAGTTTATTATGGACACCCCGATCATGAGTGTGGGATGGAGAAGTGTGTGTCTGTGATAGATGGCTGGTTGTTGTAGGCCAGTAGTGAATGGATGTGAGGCATGTTAACAGAGTTAGTGCAGAAGGCTCCACTTCATCATCCCAGACATAATCATCTCAGCTTCCTGTTAACCTGAGGGGTGTAGTCCACTGCCATGGGGCAGAGCAGGGAGAAGAGTCACGCAGCATGGGAAATAAGCTATCTTAGGGGGGTCATAAGAGGGCGCATATGCAGATAAACTATGAACTGTGTTGGCATCAAGCCTTCCTTTCCAGAAATAATTAAAGCATGGTTTACAAAATCATTCATGGATAGAATTTTTGTGGACAATGCCTACAATATTAGATATGACCAAGAACAATGAATAGATAGGGTGAAGATCTGACCTACCTGTGGCCTGAGGAGCATCAAATTTAAATCCTGGAGGTTGTGGGTTACTGATGCATAGAGCTACTTTCAGCTCTGTTTTTCCAAACATGACAAATGCTGCAATGAGTTCAATTAATTCCTCCACAGGAGAAAGCTGATCAGCAGGCACACCTTGTTCACAACTTCAAATGTGGCAATATTAAGTCAAGTTACAAACTGTTAAATTACAACCATTCTCTGAATCTATAGTTTTCTCTTACCATTTTAAGATGTTCTCTAGGGCTTTATACCCATTGTTGGTGTCAAATACTTCAAAAAGAGCAGGGTTGAGGTCATAAGTGTCTTTAATAAAACTGAATACAGCAACTGCCACTTCAGCTAATATTGGTCCAGAGACATCTGTCCGAATCTGCAGCAAGTTTTGGATGCAAATACGTATACAATGCTTGCCTGATGAGACAGAAAAAAAACTGTAGAATAAATAAATGAATAAATAAATAAATAAATACCATCATCATACCTAACAAACTTGGGACCATGTTTCTGGTTGCAGATGCAGAAACAGCCTTGAGAATTTGGGATGCCTGGTGTCTCCATAAAGCACTAGTCTGGTCCCAGAGTGATGTGAAGCCAATAATTAAACATTGAAACTCTTCAGTCTCTACTAACCTCTCCACATTCACTGGCAGCCTGCACAGGTGGAGAAAAACCTGCATGAAAACAATAAACACCCATGTTTTAGTAAATGTAACAGTTATTTTAAATTTTTGTTTCAAACCACAGTTTAAAACTAATATGAAAAAACTACGCTTTTACAGAAATATTATGTAAATATAACGTATGCCATATAAAATACAAGAAGACATAAATTACCTGTGTAAGTGGCTCCTGAAACGAGTACTCAAGAGCTATGTTTTCCTGGCTGGGAGGCAAGCACACCAGTAAGTAGAGACATTTCACCAAAGCAGCAGGGAGCTCAAGGTTTAAACTGGAGAGTAGATCCTTCGTACAAACAGAATTAGAGTTGGTAAATACTAACACAACAAACTGCAAACATGCATTTTACACAGAATACTAAGACATCACTTACAGAGCCATCAGCTGTGAGCAGAACCAGAGCTTTCAACAGCAGCCACCCAGAACAACATCCGTTTTCAAAGTTTGTACTCGCATCTTGCCTCCGGAAAAACAACACGACTTCACTGCGGGCTTCGTCTGAAAAAGACACATTTTATCAATCAGTATGTCTGAACATGGATAGCTGCAATCTAAAGTGCAAATTCAACATTGGTGGATGTATATGAAGATACTTTTGAGTGCCCAGTAGCCCCCCCAGGTTTCAGTTCATTAAATATGTCACTTGCTCACTATGTTAATATTTGCATTTAACTGAAAGTTGATCTGCCAAGCACACACATAAAGAGGAACCTTGTATTAGGGTAAAAGAAAATCTAAGAAAAAGCAGAAGTAACAACAAAAACATAAAGTAACCACCACTTTAATGGGACACTCCTCATGATTAAAGTGCTGGAAATACCTGCAGGCTTTTCTGCTAGTCTCCTGTGGATGCTTTGGACGAGCGTGTCAGCCACAAAAGCAGAAAGTCCCTTTAAATTCACAACTTCAACTGTTCCTCCATCCACACAAATCTAGCATAAGAGAAGATTCATGTTCATATTATATCAATCAGCAGAGTAAAACCAAATGAACCATTAACAGTAATAAAAGGATCTCAACTGCTTTGTATAATACAGGTCACCATCAATAATAGAAGTGCTTTTTCTGTTCCTTAAGAGGATACCACATTTCCCTGAGTTGGCTGTTCTCACAAGTAAGGCTTTATGTTCTGGTCAAATCTCTAGTCATGAGGCTTACATACACTACATTTCTAAGCCTGGTCAATGAAGGATGGAGGTTTTCACTCCTGTAACAATCTCAGTGAGTTCATTCAGTTTTTATTGATGCCTGGAGTTTTATGTTGGCGCAAGTCCCATATAAATAAGAACAAAGACAATGACAAGATCAGCTTAAGAAACAAACATCTGACATTTATTGTTGTTGTGTGGAGTTTACTCTACTATAATAGCATTACGCTTTTCACTGTACCTGTATATAAAGAGACAGGACTTTGGCAAGGGCTTCCTCTTTTGGCACTAGAGAGGATTTGTCAGTCTTCTGGCCAGAATATGAATGAATCCTCAGTTCACATAACTGTTTTATGAGCTCGTCTTGAGGCTGAGGGTCTTCTGATACCACTAGTGTTTTAGTCTTTAACTCCACAGAGGCTGATAACTCTCCTGATGCGCTCAGCTCCCCTGTCTCCTTATTGATCCTCACCCCTTTACCAGGCTGGTCCTATGAAAATGCCGTACAGAGTCATAGACAGTGAATGATACAAGGATGTGAGATTGAAAATTACTTAATTAACATATAATAATCTTTGCAATTAAAATATCAAACAATATTATGTTTAAATTAATAAAAATTTTAAAAAAGAATTAAAGCATAACAACACAATGAAGAGTCAAGTGTTTCATAAGTATGTGTAGTGGTCTATGTTTTAAAAAATGAATTTAAAAAAATTGAAACCCAACATTTTTGACCTTGTCAGACTATACACTGTAGTTGTAAACTGTAACTGTATACTCTAAAACTGTTTTTGAGCAAGGTAATGTAGATTACATTATTTTATATTATATAGTCCTCTACAACCTATATAACACAAAAAATGAACACATACCTGTAACTGCGTGAGAGCCATTCTGGAAATTCCCTAGGTAGAAGTGGATGACATCCGTTGACTTGTACTGTGAAGTTATCCCGTCTGAGTAAAGAGTCTGTCCATGTTCCTACATCAACAGTGGGAGACAAGTCAGTACTTGCTAAGGCATGGCTGGTCCTTACAGTTGCTCTACCCTCCTCTTACTAATCTGACACAAGCTGACTGAACTTTGAACAACTGAGTAACTCACATCAGCTGGTTCAAGTCATGTGCTTTCCGACTTCCTTAGAGAAGGAGAAGTGAAAAACTGTTGTCAAGCTGGTTGGATGGGGCCCTCCTACACATCAAATCATTGCTTTAAATAGACGCCTCTATCACCATAAGAATCAGACTGACAACATCACATGCTTCACAAAAAACAAAAAAAAAAACAAAAAAAAAACACTAAACAATTCATTTTAATATGTTTAATACTAATTACAATTTACGCATATTGTTCATTAATGGAGTTCAATTCTTTGTGGGTAGAATAAACTCTTACTTTTAAATATTACAGACATTAACAAAAGACAATATTTGAAGTAGCTAAAGCTAAATTTGGAAGTTTGAAGAAGGTAATGTAATTAGACGATCACTACACCAGTCATTCTTAGCTTAACAGTGCCCTCTTGTGTAATTTAATGGAAATTCATAACTTGGACACAAATCTGCTATATGTTTTCAAGATAAGGAGGCACAAATCTCAGCTATGTTTTCCCTAACCCTAAACCAACCTCTTCATGAAATGGATGTGTGTCACCTGCCTTAGCATAAAGATTCAGTCAAAGAACTACGGACGTGCAAAAAGTGGCAAAGAGAATACATCCTACAACTATAAAACGAACCATGTACAAATTTTAGAAACAAAACCTATAGCAAAACATATGTAGTTACCTTAAGTCTAAAATATGTGTAAGCAGAGAAACAGAGCGTGCCATGGCCAATCAGCGTCGGCGTATGTACGTAAACAAACATTTTCTAAATTTCCGGTCACGTGACTTGTTGGATCCAGTGAGGTGCTTAGGGCGTGTTCTGGCTCAATCAGTTTAGTTTAGCTGCACAATGTAGGATCACCGTTATCTGGCCGCGAAAGGCAATTTCCTGTCTCTATTTACAATATGATGTCGCTAGTTTGATTTCTATTACACTTCCTGGTCGTGGATATTTTTGTAGGACATTTATGATAATGCACCCGATGCCGATTTGTAGTGTTAGTGGTGGAGACATATTTGACTGTATACAGAGGGGGAATTTAGAACAGTGCATTCACTTCATCCAAAATGACCGATCAGTCTTAAAGCAGAAAGGTAAGATGCATGTGCTTTAATGTAACCTTAATTTATTGTAAATTTAGTTGTAAATGTTTTTAATTTTGTGTAATATGGATGATTGCTAGAACATTGATTATGCTATTTCATTGTTTGACTTGTTCTATTTGCGTTTTTGTATTTAGAACTATCTCTAATCTTTGTATTCAAGTTATTGTGCCACTGAGAATGATACATGATTTTTTTTTATTATGATTGATAACTTTATTGTTATTACTTTGTAGTTACGCGTTTGGGTGTTCAGCTGTTCAGACTATGTGGTGATTGCAATGACCTTTTGAGAATGAAAATGAGAATGCAAGTAAATTCAGTAATTTTTCCAGGTTGGGGTGGTTTCACCCCTCTTCATTATGCTGCCCTACATGGGAGTCGTTCAATGGTGGAATTATTCTTAAGTAATGGAGCTGACCCTAACCTAACATGTGATGCTGGACAGACAGCCTTTCAGTTTGCCTGCAGGTAAATTACCTAATTTGCATTTTGCAAAAGTAAGTTTATATATTATGAAATGCAATCTTGTTTAATGGTGTGTCACTTGACTATCTTATTTCTTTTAGGCAGGGAAACATATATATTATACATCAAATGATGCAGTATGGTGCTGATTTGCGTATCATAGACCTACAGGGGAAGACATCTCTACATCATGCTGTCACTGGTGGCAACATGTACAAAAAAGAAAAACATTATATATGATTTTTTTTTTTTCTTTTAATTTTATTTTTATTTAATTTTACACCTTGTATTTTCCAGTGTTGCAGTGCACTATCTATGGGAGACTGGGATGTTCAGATTTTCTGATACAGACATGTACAAAGTGACACCTCTTCACCTGGCTGCATCTACAGGCAACACAGAGGTGGTCAGATACTTGCTTCGAGACCAGGTCAGTTGAGTGTCAGTTGAGTTTAATTACTTTATATATATGTGTGTGTGTGTGTGTGTGTGTGTGTGTGTGTGTGTGTGTGTGTGTGTGTGTGTGTGTGTGTGTGTGTGTGGAAGTGTATAGTTTAGTTTGTTAGTGAGCATGTTTTATTGAGACTGTGTCTAACGCTTGCATTAAAACGTACGTTTGTTTCAGAGATGTGCAGTAGAAGCTGTTGACCAGCAGGGAGCGACAGCACTTCATGTTGCAGCAGAGCGAGGGGGAGTGGAGGTGTGTTGGACTCTGCTGCAGAAAGCAGGGTGCAGAATGCTCCATCAGAAGAACCATAGTGGGCTCACACCATTGAATCTCTGCAAACAGGGGAAGACATTTAGGTAAATCTGTCTTTCTAAATTATTTGGTAAACCTTCACAAGAAATACTACCTCTGGTCAAATACAATATCCAGCATGTTGGCACTTTCCAGTGACATTTTTCTCTTGGGATTCTTGTGCTGATTAATACATTGCTATGCTCTGTATTTTTTTCCAGACATCAGCAACTCACCAAACTACTGAGTCGGTACATTAATGAGCCCTTATACCACAAGCCCAGAGAGTCCCATGGTAGTAGCATGCATTTAAAATACTTAAATTATTATAACTGTTTCACAAAGGTTTATTTTTCTCTGTCTGTGTTGTTTTCAGTATTGTACTACTGGACACTGTTTTTCCCCTTGCTGAGCGGTGCTGCCATTCTGCTCATAGCTGCCATGTTGGGGGTGTATGGTGGCCTTATATGTGGTCTGCTGTTCCCCTGGCTTGCCAGAAGTATATTTACTCAATATCATCGCATGACAACATATCAAAGGTTTGATAGAAAATGTAGTATGACATTTTGAAAGTGTAACCCATACAGTTAACCAAACATGTCTTCCTTTTAGGCTGCCTAATCCAGTCTACTTGGGAACACTCATCGCTGGTTTGTTCCATTCCCTCCTCTGTTTCTATGAGAAAATTATGCCTAATATCCTTGTAAACATGTGTTCAGCTACAATATTAGTATTAATTTTAAAGGGAACATATCATGCAAAATTCATCTTAATGGGCTTTTAACCATGTTATAACATAATTAATTAACTCGAAGTTATATTTTGATTGATTGATTGAGTCTTGCATGTTTGAGTAATCCTGTTTTGTTCATTCCAGTTTTCTGCATTTAAAAACAGCTATAACTATCTTTAACAATGAAAACAAGTAAATGAACATTTTTCTGCAGTGCTTTGTGCAATTTAATACCACTATGAAATTGCACGGCCTCTCAGGTTTGCTTTTTGAACACGAAGTCAATAGAACAGTTTCAATTATCAAGCTATTTTAGATATATTTTGTTGCTGAATATTAATTACACATAAAAGGCATAGTATTTCATTAAAAAATAATCTAAAAATAGTTTCCTTAACTTTTTGAATGTGTCTGGCCAGCCTCTCCATTGGTCCAAGTGTCAATGATCCACTTCTCTATAGTTTTGTGCTTGTTTTGTAAGATTTTAATCCAGGATCCTGGGAGACTGAAAAGAGAAGAAGCCGATCCTAGGTTTTCCTGTATAGCTGATTTAGTCGAGAATAACCAAAGTCATCATAGATTCTGTCCATATTGTGAAGTAAGTAATGGAGTTGCATCTGATGTTGAGTTGAAATATATTATTAGATACACCTTTTTAAAAAAATTTACGTTTACATTTGCTTGTTTGTTTTTAGATTTAATTTAAAAAATTGTAACGGTAAGTGTTTACGTTCACTGAAACTCTTATCTCTTTTTTAGTTGTTTCTGCCTGACAACACAAAACACTGTAAGCTTTGTGATGTCTGCATTAAGGACTATGACCATCATTGCCTTTTCCTGAACCGATGCATCGGTCAGCGCAACCATCGTCTCTTTCTCCTTTTTATTCTGTCCATGGTGGCAGCTCACGTTCTCTTTGGAGCAACAGCTACAAGTTACTTATACAGCAAGAAGCCAATGGGTAGCCACACACTTTCAGTGTGGCTAACACTGGTTGGAGAGGAGTTCTGGGTAGTGGTTCTGTTGGTAATGAATGTACTGACTCTCCTTTGGGAGGTATGGCTACTGACAGAGCAATTTGAAGCTATAGCCAATGGCACTACCACCTACTTCAGGCAGTGTGAGACAGGGTCCAGACACAAGTCACCTGTACAACGCTGGACTACTGTTTTAACTTTTATTTTGGAGGGGCGAAAGCGGGTAGGCAGTGGACCAACACGTGAGAGCAAATCTGCCATAGATATCTAACACTGTTAAAACCTTTTGTGTGATATTGGTTATTTAATGATGCTTAACTATGTGTTTACAGTGTATGAAGTGTGCTATTGTGATGTAATACTGTTCCTTGACAAAATATCCTCTAATGCCATTTATAGTATGTACTTGAACTCAAACTTTACCATAGTTTAGTTTTAATAGCTTACTGTGCTTTTAAATGCAGATGACTTCAAGGAAGATCATACTCGCATACATTCTGACATTGTTTTAGTGACCCCACCATATATACAGTCTATGGACCCCACTGATGGTGACTAAATAATCATGTCTCTATGAATAGTTTACGATCATGTTATGGATAATTTACAAACTGTGAGTCGCATATCTTTTGTACTGTAATACCTTTTAATATATCTTAACATAATGGTCAGAGTAGGGTCATATATTATGTATATTGGTGAAAAATGGTGGACATTTTTGTTCAGCTATAATGTCTGATCATCTTTACTAGCACAGAAGACTAATATGTCATTACTTCACTGACCTGCTCACAGTTATGTGCCAAGACAAATTCCCTCCTCTCATTATGGGACATGGTCTTTCTAATTACACATCCCCATTTCCTATGTGTCGCTCAAAACCATATTTCTTGATTATAGATCACACCCCACAGCCACTGCACTGTCTGTCTCTATGATATAACCCTTTTACCTTTGATATGCATTTTTATTTGTCCTATGTGTTGTCTACTGTGGTAAAGATTATGCACTTTGCACTTGTACTGATGGTTTTACTGTGACTGACACCATATATATTTGTGAATCATACATGGTTAAAAATAAATAATGTAAAAATATTGCTATTAAAGAGTCTTGCTATATTCCACTGGACTTTCACACACTTCTCAGTAGTTAATGCATAAATAATTTACAAGTTCAAAGTGGCTATGGCATACAATGATAATTTTTTATACATTACCCGTCAGCAGTTTTCACTTCTTCATCACACTTCCTGAGTGAGAAACATAGATAATGGCTTGTCTGGTTATTAAAATACCATATTACATTTTCCCTTTTTTATAACAAAGAAAACCTCAGATTATTTTCCAAGGGGAAGTAATACTAATGACTATCTTTCAGGGACTGTCCAAGTCAGCATTTTTAAGGCCCACGTCACTTGAGTGTTGATGTGGGTAAGTATAGGAAGTCTGGAATGCGCTCTCATTTCTCAGTACTTCTACCAATTAAGGGTAGGTCTAAGACATCAGTATCACTATTGTTTGGCCTCTCAGTGTGCTGGTGTGTTTCCCTGGATGTTCTAGCTCCAGAAATGGGTCCACTGGAGAAGAAAATATATTGTGGAGGCCAGTTTATGTGTTCACCAACCCAGAGCTATTCAACAAGAGAAAGGCTGGAAGAATTGGCAGGTAAAGTACAACTTTCTATTTGCGTCTAAGACACTAGTGACAATTTGTGTCACTTCTGTTAGTGGTTATGTTAAGATGAGTTACATGGTTATAAATAGTTTCTTTATTTTCAAAAGAATGTATCTAGTCCTTGTTTTTTGGTACAACTTGTAAGCAGAAATTAAAATATTAAAGTGGCTGTGGCAGTGTGGCTTTCTTAGAGTGGTTGGAGAAAGTGCTTAAAAGTAAAAATAAATAAATAAATAATAAAAATAATTGGCTGTATTTTTCAAAAAAAATAAACCATAGATATTCACTGCTAGATGCAATATTCTTATCATAATGTATTGATATATGGGCAATAAAATGTTTAATTTCAGTAATGATATTACTGTTAATATCACTTGTTCTCTGCAAACAGCTGGGAGGAATTTAAAGACCTGACTAATGGTAGCGCCTGTGTGAAAAGGGAAAACAGAGGCAGAGGACACACAGCCAGACATATTTATAGACAGTGAGAAATTGATACTGAGTGCAGCAGCAGTGGGTAGAGAGACACTCAGCTGAGGAGAGGAGGGAGATAGTGGGCAGGGCTCTGGGTATGTGAGAACAACAGCACGCTGCCGGGGCCAGTGAGGCAGAAAAGGAGGGAGAGGCAGAGAGAGGCGTAAACGGGAGGGAAGGAGGGGGAACCGGCGACGGTGGTGGTTGTAAGTGCATGCAAATGTGTGTATGCGAGTGTGTAAGAGCCGGCGAGTGGAAGATGCGCAGGGATGAGTAGCAGGGCGAGGCACTGGTGCTGTCTGTGTGTGTGAACAGTGGGATGCAGTCATGTCTCTGTAGGAGGGGAGCAGCACAGCAACCGTAACCATGCTGAGCCCCAAGATAAAACAGGCACGAAGGGGTAAGCACCTCCCATTGCTTCATTGGCTTTTCTCTCTGTTATCCATCTGAGTGAATGTCATACTTTTATTATGTCTGCAAAGCTTCTTACAACAGTGTGTGTGGTTTAGGTTTATTGATAATGGCAGTATTCTAATTGTACAATCTGATCATGAATGTTTGCATCCTACTTTTTCCATAGTAGTTGATCTGCTTTGTTCAAGTGTTAAACCACTGGTTACTACAGGGTGATGTCATCCACTTTCATAATCCCTCCTTATTCCTAGAAGGCTTGGACCCTAATAGGGAGACACTGGGCTGTAGTAAAACATGGCTGCTGTCTCCTATGGTTTGCTCACACCTGCAGTCCTCCTGGTGAAGACTTGCTTAGGTTTAACTTGGTGCGGTTATGTGCTGGTCGCTTGATGTGATATGGTTTGAATATTGTGAGTTTCTTACACCTCATGTAAATAACAACAGCTGTCCAAATGTAGTTCCTCTAACTTGGGTAAAATTCACCTGACTAAGGACAAGACACCACATATACAGGCATGATTCTCACGTGACAAGGAAACTGGAACATAAAAACCCATCAGCTCTGAAGTCAACATGATGCTGATATAAATACTTGTGTATTCAACAGAGCAGATGGTTGCTATAGACAACCATCACACACTGGTCCATATGGATTGGTGATCTTATTGACAGATGAGGCTAATACTTCCCTTTGAAAATATTCAAAGCAGTTGATCATTATAGATATCTGACATGCAGATACTTTTAATGTGAAGGTGGTTTACTAATGCATGCATTGTGGTCCTGTCATAAGAGTGTACAAGACGTTGGTCAGGAGATATGCCTCATCTTTCTCCTTTATGAGCACAGTTGGAGAGTGCAGTGATTTTCAGTTTGCTCCCCTGCACGTCATCTCTCATTTGCTGCATGGTATTCTTCTTTGATTAGATTTCCAGCTTCGCTCTTCCTGACTCTCTATCATTCATACCAAATGGAGCATCAGTGAAGATGGTGTGTTGGCTACTGTATTTCAAGCAAGAAATCTAAACTACTCATGAGTTGTCTTAGATAATACAAAAATTGCATCATCTAAGTACACACTGTGGATTACAAACAGTTTAAACACACCAGAGCACTGCACAGTTACACTTATTGCAGAATAAACATAAAATGTCATCCAAACTCTGGGTTGATTCTTCTATAGGATAATATATATCATTACATTGTTACATCTGTGCCTTGTTTAAGGGATTTAGACTTTTTAAATTATAATGAAGCAATAGAATATTTACTGTTTCCATAAGGTTTTTAAGACAATGAATGACTCATTATTAATCAAAGACAAATTATTTTTAGAGGAAGAAGTGTGGTCTCTAACACAAAATAGAGGTCTCTGAGAGAAAAAAGTTTGGGAGCCAGGCTACGGTATACAGTCTATATCAGTGACTTAATAAAATGTCACTGATATAGCCTGAACAGCATTATGTACCTCCTCTATAGTAATCATCCCATCAGTTTTTGTATTGTACATAAGGACCAGATCAGGGGGCAGAGTTGGAGCTGGTGAACTGAGAATGATAAGAGTTACAACAATTAGTAGCTACATGTGAGAGACAGCTCAGGTTAGATGCTTTTGGAATTGTACAGAAGGAGATTATGGGGGATGTATAGAAACAAAATAGTGTATGTCATAGTGGGGAGAAGGAGTAAGGCCAGATCCGAGGTTATGTCATAACCTAAGGAGCTAATTTATGCATGCAAAAGACACAAAAGAAGGCTACTTGATGTAAGTAAATAAATGTTGCAATTTCATATAATTGGTAATATAACTATAATTGTAATAGGATCCCGGATGTTGCTTTACAAAATGTATGTTCTTTTTTTGTTGGTCACTTTGACTCATTTCACACACAAAAAATGAATACAAAACATAAAATGTAATAGATGGTTCATAATGTCCAAAACGCAGTGCAAATGGGATACATAAACAGAGATTTCAGGCCTGTGCAGATACTGTACCTTCGCTGCTGTCCTCAGCAAAAAGCCAGATGCAATTAACAAGGAAAGAAACGCCATTGATTCCTCTCTCCTCTCTCCTTTCCTCTCCTCTCTTCTCTCTCTGCCTTCTGATAATTTCTCTTTCCCTGTCTCCCAAGGGACCTCCCCACACTGTCACTGCCTTTGCTCCATACTATTGACATGCAGATGCTAATTTATAATCTATCCTAATAATCGGCCTGTAGACATTTAAGCATTGGTGATCTGAAGCAAAACTCTTCTCCGTACAAGCAAGCTAATTTAAGTGATAGTGCTCTACATCCCTGTAGGCTATACATTTACCTCAGTTCAAAGTGTCCTTCATTACCGAAAGCATAATAGAAGACTGACTCAACCTGTCATCCTTGTTTTACCTGCAGTGTTGAAAGTGCTTTGAACTGGTTTGAACACACACTCTTTCTCTCTTCATGAATGTTTGTCTATCTCAGTTTAATATCAGAACAGATAGAGCGTGTTCCTGATAGTGGTGCCGTGTGTTGTGTATCCATGCAGCCCGCTCAAAAAGCATGGTGCTTGGGGAGCTGTCGCGGGTGTCACGGCCCTGCTCTCCTCTGGACCAGGAGAAAGGCTCTAAAGGCTGGATGGCTCAAGAGGCAGCGCAGCATCATGAAGAATTGGCAGCTGCGCTGGTTTGTTCTGAGGACTGAAGCTCTGTACTTTTACAAGGACCAAGAGGAGACGAAAGCGCAGGTAACTTATTAAAATTAATATCAGATTTTGGCAAGCAGGTTATAGAATACCAGTCTGTATTTTGGGATTAGCAGTGATGTAGTGGCTCAAGCATTTGCCAGTGAACCAGGGCACAGGATCCAGGGGTAAGACAATCTGAAACTCCTTTACCTACTTCAGTCATTATAATGTGCTGCAGTAGGTAGAGGTATCAAGTCAATAATGAAACTAGGTGTGTCCAAACAGTTGATTGTAACTATCCAATTGTAATTACTACTTCATTACATCATTCTCGGCATACACACCTTTCTCCTTCCATACCTTTCTCAAGCCAAATGAAAACAGCTGTGTCAAGAAATTCACCCACTGAAAAATACAAAACATCAAAAAGGTATAAGGTTAGAATGATGTGCATTATAATGGTCATAATGCAAATGTATACAGTGTTGATTTTTAAAGACAGGCCATTTGCTTCTGTCCATTTGGGCATCCATTATCACTTACTTGCCATTAAACTCTAAGCGTGTTAGCAATGTCTTGAGATATTTGCTGGTACACTGATAATGTGGTAACTGGCTGCCCTGTGGTGCTTGTACAGGCACTTAACTGGTGACCTATGACCTTGTGTGTGGTGAGGTTGTTCAGAGTGTAAACCAGGAAGTAAATATGGATAAATAGATGAAGAGATGTTTCCCTGAGTCATCTCGGCCTCCATCATCATTACCTTACTTTCTTGGATGGCCGCCCAGAGCCCACTGCTCTCGGAGCTTAATAATGTTTAACATACACTACACGTTCAAGTCCACAACCACCAATTGATTTCAGGAGGCTGAAAAGCATTGGTGCAATGTTTTCTCCCTGTTTTTGCCTCTCTGTCAGTCTCTTTCTCATGTGTGTTTCTCTTGCAGGGCTGTATCCCTCTTCAGGGCAGTCAGGTCAATGAGCTGCCTGCCACTCAAGATGAACCTGGCCGCCACCTTTTTGAAATAGTGCCAGGTGAGTTTACACTGGAATATGGTAGTTCAATTTGATGCCTTAATCATTTCGTCACTGTTTGAATATATCTACATCCACATAAAAATAGTTGTACTGTATTTCTTACTACTTCAGTGATTTACTCAAGTATTATATAAATTATTATTTTTGGAAATTTGAAGGGTATAGGGGCATTGTATGAGTTAAAATAACAGGTTAAACTGTGGATGCTAAATACACACAAACCCTTGAAAGGCATCAGAAACTATGCAGAGTAAGAGCCATGGTACAGTTGCTTGTGTCCACTGGGAATTGTATCCTTTCTGGGTCATTTAATCCACATACAGCAGTGCACACCACAGTGAAGGACACAGTCACAAATACCAAGGCCAGTTGCTTATAGAGATGTTCAGGAGCTGCAACATACTTAAATCCTTAATTATTAGAAAATAAACTGTATAGTGAAATTGTACACTTGTAGTCCGTTTTGCTCTAAGTTGTCATATTGTACTTTATGTCTTAAACGTGAAATGTATACTTTAATATTTATTACAAAGCAATACATTTTAAAAATGTTATATTTTTTCAAGGGGCCAGTGGGGAAAAGGAGAGGCCTGGAATAAGCCATGAGTCTTATCTACTTATGGCAAACTCTCAGAGTGACATGGAGGAATGGGTCAGAGCCATACGCAGAGCTATATGGGCTCCGCTCGGAGGAGGTGGGGCGCTTTCATCGAACTGCATATTTAATCTTAAACTAGTTCACTGATGTTTATTTTTCAAATTTATAATTAATTAGTAAAAATAATATATTAGATAAGAGTAAATGTAAAATTATAATTACATTACATACACATACATAATAATTACATTCATTACACATCTGAAACATACAAAATATTGCAATGATGGTTATTTATTGGTTTTCAGGTATCTTTGGACAGCACTTAGAGGAGACGATGCTGTATGAGGCTCAGTCAGCACAGCGAGAGGTGCCAGTGCTGGTGGAGCAGTGTGTGAGTTTTATTCGTGAACATGGACTAAAAGAAGAAGGTCTTTTCAGGGCTCCAGGACAGACGAATCTTGTCCGAGAGCTGCAGGATGCTTTTGACAGAGGAGAAAAGCCAGTATTTGATAGGTAACACAAACAGAAATTCTTAAGTGATATGCCATTGTTCTTTTTTAACACTGTGCTGTGCCTTGTTCACCAGTACCACTGATGTCCACACAGTGGCATCGCTGCTGAAGCTGTACATCAGAGAGTTGCCTGAGCCTGTGATCCCATTTGCCAAATATACACAGTTCCTCTCTTGTGCTCAACTTCTTACGAAGGATAGAGAAATGGTAGCTAACTTTTAAGTGCAATAGACATATAAAATACATTTTAGCCTCTGTAATAATCCACGTGCTTCTTTCAGGCCGTGGTAGAGCTTTGCAAACAGGTTAAGTCCCTTCCTCAGGTCAACTACAACCTCCTTCGCTACATCTGCAAGTAAGTAACAATCTTGATGATCATATTTTGCTTGTATGATATACATATATATATATATATATATATATGGCTTGTATAAATAAATGAACAACCACAGAAAGACTGATGTCACTATGGCAGACTTTGATAGACACTTTGAATGGATTGTTTGAATTGACAAAAGATTTGTCATTCTGTCAAGTCTCTGAATGGAGAAGTTGTTTCCATCACCAAATATGCGCTCTCACAATGATGGACATTATAATTGCCTCTCTCCTCTTCCTTCCTGTTTTTTAAAAATATCATCTGCTGACCACGCACTTGCAAAAAAAAAAAAACATGACTCAGACTACCCTATCAGTCATTTGAATTTTAATAAATAAATACAAAGAGAGTGTTTTGATGAATTAAAGCAGTGCAGTCAGCACTAAACATTATTATTATTATTATTATTCCAGGTTCTTGGATGAGGTTCAGAGTCACTCTAATGAGAATAAAATGAGTGTTCAGAACCTGGCCACTGTGTTTGGACCCAATGTCCTTCGACCTAGAATGGAGGATCCTGTCACAATGATGGAGGGTTAGTAATATCAAATACAACGTGATGAATATTTTGGACAGACAATATGCAATTATGTTATATCTCAATATTTTTGGATGAGCTTGGTGACAATATTTGGATCCATAATCTACCAGAATTTGTCTAAAATGTGCTTGTAAATGTCTATACTTGTTTGATTAAGAATCTAGTTTCAGTATTATTTTTGATTGATTTCTTAATATCTGTATATTGTCACCCACTCTATTTTGCTATAAAGTGTTCTGTTGATTCCTTGACATACAACTGTGAGTTATTGTATTTTAATTTAAATTATGTGTGTACTACAGGTAGCTCTCAGGTCCAGCACCTAATGACTGTTCTGATCAGCGAACATTCTCGGCTTTACCAAAGAGACCAGCCAGAACCAGACGCTAAAACACCCTCCCATCCTCAAAATACTCCTCCTGTCCAACGTGGGAGGGTTGAGTGGCTGCCCCAAGAAGACAAAGACACACCCTCTACTTCAAAACCAGACTCCACTACTAACGAAATACCCCATTGTGCAACAGGCATGGACTCTCAAAGTGGGGTCAGATGTAAAAAGGAGGACAAACTAGAGGAAGTGTCAGAAAGCAAAGCTGAAGGGCGAGGTGGGAGTGACTTGACTGTGAGTCCAAGTAAACAGTCCAAACCATTACCCACATGGAAATCCTCACTGAAGGGCGGAGCAGCATCTGGAGGTCCGAGGGGTAAAATAGGTGGGTCAGCTGGAGATGTGTCTGCAGCAGGAGGCAGTAACTGGTTGATGAACGGTTTGTCATCCCTGCGATCTCACAGGAGAACTACATCGTCTGGGGAGAGACTAAAGGACTCAACTCTTTCACTTAAGGATTCAGATGAGGATTCTAGGACTAATTCATCCTCCTTGAGCCAAAGAGCCCTACAAACCCACAGACTCTCCGCCTATGACAATGTAGCACCGTCCAGTCTAAGTTTGCCGGCAGACACCTCTACTCTGTGGACATCCTATGAGATCTCACTAGACGAACCCAAGGGCAGTGAAAAAGATGTGAAAGTAGGGCAGGCTAAAGACAAGTGCACAGAGGTGAAGGACACTGAAAATGTTGGAGAGACCATTGTGAGCATTACAGTGAATGAGCCTGAAGAGACTGACACAGAGAAACAGGAGGGCTGTAATGAGGCAGTGAGCGAACTCAAGCAGGAGCTGAAGAATCAGAGGAAGAACTATGAAACACGCATCCGCAAGTATGACCTTGTTACTTTTTATGCAGCCTGTTTTTGCAATTTTATGTTAGAACACAGTGTTTCATAAATAGACAAATAGAATCTCATTGAAATATAAAACAAAAAAGCTATTTAGATAAATAAAACAATATATAGCCTTATTCTTTGGTGCTTCAAAATATGAAATGAAGGGGAACCCAACAGCTATTAAAATTGAGAAAGCAACTATTCATTTTCAGTATTCTGGCCAAGGTAATTTTCAGTACTTTTTAGAGGAAGAAGGCAAAGATATAAAACCCCTAAAAAATTCAGGGGACAAAGATGTCAAAATGGAAAAAAAATAATACATTTGACTGTTTATGAAATTGGGATGCATGCATTTTCTTATTGGTTTGTAAAATTATACCTTTGTCCCTTTCTAACTGAGGTTGGAGGAGTCCTGCTCTAAATACCAGTCGCAGGTGAGCCAGCTCGAGGAGGAACTGGATCAAGAGAAGAAGAAGCTCCACATGTTAGAGATTCGACTCAGGAACTCCGAAAGGGCTCATCAAGATGCAGAAAAACGCAACATCCTCCTTCAAAAAGAGATGGAGGACTTTTTTAAAACACTGGGGGACCTGACGACTGGAACAGGGCGGACAAACTAGACCAGGTCCATATGTCTTCAGGAGGTCTTTTAGAGGAAAGATAACCCTCTACTGCTGTACTACTACTTGCCATTGTGTCCTCTAAGCGGCCATCTTGTGCCTACACTGACCAATGCTGGTGCCAAACTTAAACTGGACCAAGCATTTGTTTTAATATTTTGTTGCTGTTTTTAACTTATTCAAACAAACAAACAAAAAATCACAGAAAGCCTTGACATGAGGTACAATGTGTGTGTCTGTCCAATTGCTGAAAGAGAAAACATTAGAAACATTGTAATTGTAGTTATTTATTTGTTGGAGTTAAAAGGTGACAGACTGCATCTCTAATGCACGGGACATCATTGATCTGTAAGTGGGACACAGGTGGCCTCGGTAAAATACAGGTTAGCTTTGTTGTCAGTGTTGGGCTCATTCATAATTTACACTAATGGAACTTCCTTGTTTCCTCCTCATGTAACACAGATTTTGAACTGTGTTTAAAATATGAAAGAGACAAAAAGGAAGTTTCTAACTCCCAGAATTCCACTGGGTATTAATCGTTTGGATCAGGGTCGCTCCTAAACGAGCATGCTGACTGTCTGAGCCAAAGGATATTATGGCAAATGTCTGTTTCCTGGTTCTCAGAAAACATAAGTAGATCTAAGCCTATTGTAAATTTGTACATATTCACTATTCTAAAAAAATTATATTGCACAGGATACTATAGAACAAAAATGCATATAAATAGTACATTACATACAAACGGACATCTCGTAGCCTGAAATAAATAAATACATAAATAAATACCAATGTTGTGTCTTGATTTACAGTAATGACTGTAACTTCATTTGTGTGTGTGTGTGAGAGGTAGAACTAACAAAGGTGCACCAAAACAAAATGACTGAAGGGATTAAGGACACTTAAATTAATAAAAAAAAAACAAGTGTTGAAAAAATGAAATCTGCCAAAACATAAAGTGTCTGGTTCAGATTAAGATTTTATAACAATCTTCAGTTCAGTCATTCAAGGAGTGGTCTATATTAGTGTCACAGCGCATCACAATTTAACATACATTCACCCTGTTCTTCCTGACAATAAGACTCCTTAACAAGCTATTAAAACATGCATGTAGCAAACGTGTGTGCCATTGTCCATACACACAATCCAAATTCAATCATTTCGAGGCTTGCTTTCTACAAAAAGAAGCCCCGATCTATTTGCATCTGGCTTTAACATGAAATGTGCTTTGTTTAATTTACTGACAAAAATAAAAAATAGATTCATTCAACTGTCATAAAAATAATACAAAAAGCAAACCTAGTAATTTGGATCAATACTCAAAAATGAATATTGCAGTAACAGCAGGCTGTGATGTAGCCACTGTACAGTTGTACCTTAAAAACAGCATGTAATTTATACACATTTTTTCTCTTTCAAAACATACGTCACAAGTTCACATTAAAACCTATTGTGATTCTTCTTTGCAGCAAAAATACAATCATAATTATACATTTTAAAACCACATCATACAGCAGGAGAAAAGTTCAAGACAAACTGTACATAAACAGCGCACCTCTACAGACTAAAAAACACATTTTTGGCGTAAACCGTGCCCCATCATACATGTGTAATACATGCATATGTTTAGACAGGGTTTGTTTCTGTGTTCATGTGTGTGGGGGATACTATACGTGAGTATTATCTGCAACAGGCCAGAGCACCCAGTGAAGTGTGACTGTCCAAACTACTCTCTGTCTCGGAGGTCATGGTGGGGTCACTGCTGGGGTCAGACGGCTCCGTGGACATGGATGACACATCATTGACTGACGAGGAGGAGGAGGCGGGCTGAGGGGGGCTGTCCACTACTGCTGCACCTGTGCTGCGAAAAATACATGTCAACACATACGCTTTTATTAAAACGTAAAGGGAGGTGACTCACTGAAATTTAAAGTTACATTAATTACACTTAAACCTGCCAATGAAAATAAAGTTATAACTACATACAAAGACAGTACAATGATGTTCTGCTGTTGACATACCTAAAGGAGATGGCTGGCCTCTTATAACTCCATTTCTATGCCATTCTTCCCAATCATATACTTCTTTATAAATCAGCTCTGTAAAATAAGAAAAAGCATTTAACAAAAAGGCACAACAAGACCTATTATTACATACATTAAACAAAAAGACAAAGGTAGAAAACATTTTAATCAGCAAGCATTTTATAAGCATTTGTTTCCTAAAGAAGACTTAATGCTGTTTGTGGGTCAGCTTGCATCGCAGCAGTTTCAAGACTCAAAAGTAGTGACTAACCTTTCCATTCTTCCACTGTGTGCTCTCGCTCATCCAGCTGTTTGTCTGGAATTTTTGGAGGTGGCTAATGAAGTGAAAATGAGGAAAAAGTAACACTGAGGTTGTTAAATACTCTAAACAATACAGATAACGTGCTTGATAACATTATCTCTTTTTACTTACCGCTTCTACTTCAGCGGGATCGTACCAAACATTGATATAAGGATGCTTTAGGGCCTCATCTACAGAAATGCGTTTGGAGGCATCGATCACTAACATCTTGGACAGAAGATCTCTTGCTTGGCTTGCTAAAGACAAAACATAATGTCGCATTGATCATACTATACATTGCCAGTATATGGATTATTTAATACAACTGCAACAATATTGTTTACCTTTGAGCTTGTTGTGATCTGAATCAGCTGGGAAGAGCACATCTGGGAAGAGCTTCTCAAAGCTGTACCCTGCATAGCGAGGTCTGTTTTCCACATATGTCCTCACTGATTGATTTAGCTTCATCATGAACTCCTGGGTCGGGGTGCCTAGCTGCTCGATTACCTTGTTCCACTGGTCAATATCTATGTATAATTGTTAAGGTAGTTGCAGCAGCAGCACCATAAAAAACAACTCCTGTGATGTAACATTTAAGCCTGACTTTTCAACATTGAACCTGCTCAGACTGCAGTACACAAACACACAATACCACACCCATGTCACATGACTGACATTGTAAAGGGCATACACTTTGTGCTAAGCAGCTGATACAGTAATTTACTTTAAATAACCGCAGTGTTATTAATTACCTGAAACCAAGCAGTGTTGTTTCATCTGCACTCATAACAATAACATTGTGATATTACAGTGATCAAGGACATTTTGAGGAGATGGCAAAATGAGAGGAGGCAAACAATATCAACGATGGATTACATTTAAGGGAATGAAATGATGATACAATGATCAATCAATGATGGGAAGGATACGATCGGTGCCAGGGAACAACACACTTCCCCTGATCATCTCGGCCACTATACAGCCAACCGACCACACATCCACTGGGGAGGGTGTTCACATGATTGAAGGTGAACGCCATGCAAACAAAAGGATAAACAAAAACACAATAAAACATAAAATAATGAAACAAATGTGGAAATAATTAGGGATGTAACAATAACCGAAATGTCGTGATATTCTATCGTCAAAGGTCTCACAATAATATTGTGGACCATCACAGTATATCGAATTACAAGTGTCTTCACTTAAATTAATAGTTATGGTGCAGCAATAGCTAAAAACCAAGAGGGAACTACATAGACAATGATCCTTTGTGCCAATTCAGTGCAGACTACATGGAGAAATAACTGTTATAAGCACTTTTAAAGCTTAGTTCTTTTGGTTAAGTCTTATCAAGGTATTTTAAAGAAGAAAACGTAGCATATTCACAGTTTTGTTAGCCTCCACAAAATATCGCAATAAATATCGTACAGTGAGATGTATATCATGAAAATATCATACTGAGAGATTTGGATATCATCACATCCCTAGAAATAATAAAGATTAAGATGGAGTGAATGTGCAAAAGCAAGGTAGTGGTGGTGAAGGTCAAATAAAAATGATACATGCACGGCACAGCATTAAGAAAAAAATACTTAAATGCCACAATGTCTTAAAATACACAAGGATACAGTCCCTTCCTGGGAATAGGATTTTATGGCGAACCATTTCAGCCAGTATGCAGCCCACAGACCATATGTCCACTAAGTATTGTGGATAATGGTAAATAAAGCCAAAAGACGCAAGAAAAACGCACACCAGGTTAGTTTGAATGTTAGTGAGCATTTCCTACGTTTAAAGAGAAGAAACTGTTAAAAGATGCAAATGTTCACTAACCATTAGCCTGATATCCCATGCCCAGGATCACTTCTGGTGCTCTGTAGTAACGTGTAACTACATATGGAGTCATCAAAAGGCCCGTCGCTGCTGTCCGAGCCAGACCGAAATCCAGAATTTTCAGTGTGCAGTCAGATTTCACCACTATGTTACTGGGCTTCAGATCCTAAAGGCACAAAATGAAGATCATTTAAATGCTACATAGTTTATGCCATCACATCAACCCTTAGTTTGACATCACACACTTGCAACAAATAATAGTTTTTCTTAGCAAGGTAATAAATAAAAAAATTAAAAAAAAAAAAAAAAAAACATGGAAAAATAATTATATTGTATAACACAATTTTATACAGTATAATTGTAATTTTCACAACAAACGTAGCTTATGCAGTAGTACCACATGATCTTACATTAGTTCTGAGATCAAGAAGACCTATCATAGACTGTACAAAGATGTGAACTACGGGCATTCAACTACAGTCAAATGAAGCTTACGAAGCTAGCAGTTACACAAGCGATTTTGGAGCCAAGTTCCATATTAGGAATAGGAATTTATCTTTGGACAAAACAGCAAAATAAAAGGATCATGTAGAGCAGGTTAGCTATGTCTATGAGGCCAACAAATTCTGCAATAAAATGTTAAATTTTATGTTTTTATACTTCAAATGAGTAGTAGTAGTAGTAGTAGTAGTAGTTTTTGTATAAGTTGTTGTTGTATGAACAACCAGACCCTCATGAAGCCACTCAACACCATCTCCTCTTACCCTGTGAATGATGCCAGCGGCGTGAAGATGTTTGATGCCACACAACATCTGATAGAGCAGATACGAGAGTCGCTCATGATCCAACTCCATCTGAATGACCTGGCAGAGGTTTGCATCCATCAGCTCCATCACTAAATATCTGGCCAAACACACAATATTGTCATGTGAACCAACGCCTCCACACAAGTAAGTGATGATAATATATATAATAAGGAACAGTTACTTACACATCCTGGAATTCTTCTAAAGATTTTTGTGGTGTAAATACATTTAATAGGCCAATAATCTGTAACCAAAACATTTCCAATTAAACATCTTTTTACTTGTTGACCAAGAATAAACATTCAGTAAAACAGCACTTACATTTTTGTGATTGACATATTTCATAAGAACTAACTCTCTGTATGCACGTTTGGCATGAGTCTGATTTTGAAATGGTCGACTTAGCTTTTTGATGGCAACATTTCTTTCAAGTACCTGGTCATAGGCAGAGCTACAAAGAAAGACATTTCAGCTAATGTGTAAAATACAGAGAATACTGATATGTAAGAGAGAAATGGAAAATAAACATACCAGACAATCCCTTGTGCACCTGAGCCAATAGGCCTTAAATTCTGATATCTCTTCAGCACTATGAATGTTGAATCTCCAACATCAACACTGTAAAACTCCCTTTCTCTCTTATTTTTGTTCATTGTGAATTCTTCAAAAGCAGCTTTCTGAGCATCAAAAAAGGTCCTCTGTGAACACAAAGATGAAAAGACCAAAAAGATAATAAATACAACAACAGCTGAGTAAAAGCAGGTGAATGAAAAAATCAAGTGAGAACTTGAGATGAGAGAGAGTGAAGACACAGCTAAATTTCACACTCGGCTAAAACAGCACAATTCCAAAACTCAGCAACTCGATGAGAGATTTCATACTATCAGCAATGGTGCACACAGCAGGCCATAGGAAGTGCTACTATATTATATAGAACAAAGAATAAATTCACAAAGCCACAAAAACAAATACATATACAATATAATAGGACAAAGGACAAATGATGAGTTTTGTGGTAGAACATGTGCATATTAACATTTGTTTACTGGCTGCATAAAACTACACATTGTAATGACACTCCCCTGATTTTCGTTTTCCAGGCTCTCAGTCCATATGAGGGATAATATGATGGCAGAACTAAATGAGTCAGAGTCGCGTCTGTTGCTTGAGCGTCACAAATACGTACATAGCATCTTCTCTCACATTATCAAAATAGATTTCACACTTTTCAATGAATGGGGAATCTCGTTGATGGTATTTAATAGACATTACATTATCTAATGTTTAAATAGATTTGCTTAAGTGCCAATATACTGTTGTAAGTGTAAGACACTTTATGGCTTTTAGATGAGGTAAAATATGACATTGTAGAGAATGTAATTTTCACCCCTGAAATAATGTAATGTGTGTAATACTAGAAAAACTTCACTCTCCAAGACACCATACTCCAAATACAAGCATGGGATCTACTTGAAAATATGTTTCTCCTTAATTATTTAATTACTGTTTTGCAAACACGTCCTTGGAGTACTCCCTATAATCACCAACTACAATGAATCTGGGTAGCAACCCATTAGCCACGTAATAACACAGTACAGCACAGAGACACAATCCATGTCAACATGCCTGCACTGTTTCAGACTAATGTACAGATTTACCAAGTAGAAACTCTCCAAGCTGCTCCAGGCTCTACGTGCACATCACAAATCACAAACTCAGTGACATCATAAGAATACAGTCTACCATGTATACCACTGAACCACTATCAATATAAACGTGGTTAGTCACTGGGCAAATTATGTGCAATGTTAGATGGTAAGGCAGGCTGTCAGCTGTGATAATCTTTGTAGATTTATATGTAGAACCCCGAAAGGCTCTAGATTCTAGGCTACAGCTACAATAAATGGAGGTAGTCGTACATGGGATGGCCTACCGCAACATCAGCAGTGGTGCGCAATCGGCATGTGCCTCAAATAGACAAGACGCTTACTGACGCTTTATAACGTATAACCAAGGTGAATAGATTATTAAAACAAATTACATTAACCAGACACAAAAATAACCTCGTTGCTAACGTGCAACATGCACGAAGGCTAAAAGACACGACCCTCCCCCACGGCCAAACAATAAGCACGTCTAAGGAGCAGAGGTGCGAATCCTCATCTTACCTCAGTCACCAAATCAAACTATCGATCTCTCCGCCGGTGTAAGAGCTCCAAAATGTCACAGAGCCCCGCACTATGTGTTAAAACCGATCCTGAGTGATGATTTATTCCGTTGTGCAGCTTAAAAATACATGACCTCACCAAATTTACTTGCCTACGTTTCCATCTGGCTGCTACTGACAGGCCGGGGACGCTTGTGCGCACGGGGCATGCGTCCCAGTACCACGTCACTCAGCAAAAGAAACACACCCACCACATCCATATATCCTCCTTCCGCTTGGCCACTTATCTGTGCAGACTGAGGCTGGTACTCTGCTTTCCCTGCACTAAATCACTGCTGGGTTAATTGGAAACTCATATAGACTGAAACCCTGACACCTAACCACACAACAACCAAGGCTCATAATTGGTTACACTGTATCCATATTGATTGTTGTTGTTATTAAGGTAAATAATCTCATTTTAATATTTTTCTTTTGAAAGTGGCATTAATGAAATATTGTGTCAAGCCAACATCGACGTTACAATCTATTAATTACCCAGAAAAGGCGCAGAAAACATTAATATATATTAATATAATTTAATATTATCAGTAAACCCTTTTGTAATCTTTTGTCTCAGTTTCCAGAAGAAAAAGTCACATAAACCTTTTATAAACACTTATTGCAAGGTTGTTTTGTCATTGTCCAGGGCCCACGTGTAACTGTATAGGCTACAGTAGACCATGACATGCACTGGACGCTGCACGCATCCTGTGCAGTGGTTGTATACTATCTCGCCATTCAGAGTTCATCCAGCAGTTACGCTACAGCAGTAGCGCTGTATGCGGACCCACGTACTGCGAAGACATGTGACAGTGGAAGGACATAAGGTAGAATTACATTAAGTTAGAGCTGAGTTGTTTAAAATTTCACCGCAGCCTCCTGACAGCCCTGGATGACTGTTATTTATCCTTGTCCCACCGCAGAGAACCCGGGGCCTGCAAAAGGTAAGCGCGATAGAGCGGAGAGCGGCGTGGATAGACGTCCCAGCACAGACTCCCGCAGCGAGACAGCTACTACTAGTCTTACCCCTTGTTCGAGGAGAGCCCGCAGTGTTATGATCATTATGGGGGAGCAGCCTTGCAGCAGCCAGCCACAGTCCTGCACAGCCCAAGTCGTTCGTCCTTTTCAGGGTTCTGTGTAGCGCACAGGGGATCCACCACACCTTTGGGCGTCAGACGGATTAGTTAAAATCAGTGTTGCTGATCTCACGCCACTTGCTATTGGTGGCGTTGACCTGTCGCTGTCAAACCGCAAACCAAATCCTATTAAGTCTTTAAAACAGAAGTCGCCAACCCAAGAATAGACCCTATCACAGAAAGAAAAAAAAGTTTCAACTGTTCAACGTGGCTGTGGTGATGGAGCAGAGGAAAGGGCACCATGGTCTGGTAATGTCATCGATGGATTGATTGCCAGAGACCAGCAGCCTTTTTCCAGAGGACATCAAAACAGCGTCCCAATGCTCAGGATTACTATGGAACCGTGAGTGAACACTGAAGATAGCACAAAGGATCAGACCGCAGCCATTGATTACATATGTACCAGGTAAGTCCTTTCTCTTTAAGCTATTCTCCATTTTCTCTTAGCCTATAGGACAGTGCTATTTATGTTATTCACACCTGCTATGTAAGTGATCTGATGAAAACTGAAATGCGGACCCACATGGCACACATCTAAAAGGCAATTTAGCAGCAAATTAACCAGATCTGAGTAGTACCATTATAATAAAGGCCTGCGAATACAAAGAGGGCTGTTGAATGCTTAATAGTCTAGACTATATTTTTGTTGTATAAGTGGAATTATTCACTGACAGGTGAAATGTGAAATTTATAGTGTGACAGTGTGGCACAGAGTGAGACCCGGGTAAAACATGTGCCAATCTTTAATAGCTTCTTACTAAAAATTTGTAGGCTACAGCAAATATGAATATTACTGCAAGGGCAACTACAAGTATAGAGGAATTCCAGACAGTATAAGAAAAGAATACAGTCATGGAACATCAAGCGAAGTAATGGTAAGGGTCAGATTAATTTAAATGCAGAACAGGGATAGAAAGCAATTTGATGCTGTTGGAGAAAGATGAATCTCAGTTACATACATGTTTAGCTGTGGATATGACTGAAAGGTTTTTTCTTCTCCTTTGATGTGAATTTTATGATGATTATTTATGTTTTCATTTGTTTGTGTTGTGGTTTTAACAACTTTCTTATTCTGTAAAGCACGTTGAATTAATTTGTGTATTAATGGTGCTATACAAATAAACATGGCTAGCCTTGCCTAAAAAGAGTACTAGAATTTAAAAGTACATCATGTAAGTTGCCCTTTTACTTAATGAATGTACATGATATTCAGAGAATAAGAAAAAGTTTTACTGGCATTATCAGTGAAGAAAATTCATTAACTTGGAATTTGCTTTGGTGATATGGTGCAACATAAAACAATGAATGATAGTACTAAAACATAAACTCAGATAAAGGCAAGCAAAAATGATGTAAATTATAAATAGACTTTGACTTCATATGCATTGTTGTTATAACCATTGGTCAATATCAGTATGTACCAATATAAATTAATTTAAACCATTACTCCATTTTATAAAAGATGGAGTAGCTTATTAACAAGACAACTGGGTTCAGTTTTAGTATTTAAAAAATGCTTATTAATGGTTCAAATAAAACTGACTATGAGACAGATGTCCACATTAAACAAAAAGTTTAATAAAAGTCTACAACAAAAAAATATTCTGAGTTGGTAAATACATCTCACTGTATGTATTATAAAGTAATTTGTTAAACAGCAGAGCACAGCACATGATAACAAACTAAGATTGGTGACACAGGTGAGATGAAAGCCTATTACAGAGTGGGAGGGTCTGAGAAACCAAGATGCAGTGACCCTAATGAATTAAGGTAATCTGCTCAGAGTCTGGGGCAAAGAACATCATTTTCCTGGAAAGTTTCTCAGATTTAACTCTAAAGACATTGCCTTGTTGTTTTTAAAATATTTTAATTTAATGGAAATTATGACAAATTAATTTCAAGTTTAAACATACATATTTGTTAAACATATAGTTAAATGGTTGATTTGAATCCTTGTCTCAACCTTTTTTTTTTCTCATTTTAGAATATATTTGGCACAGATTGGAAATGTGTACAGGATGAGCAGCACATTTGTGACATTAGCTGAAGTATTAGAGGCTCGAGGGGGCCCTCTGCTGGAGGAGGAGGTCTGGTCTCTTCTGCTGGCTACTGCAGAGTCTTTAGTAGATGTCGCATATAAAGGTATGTAGTATTTTATGACTATTTTGGTATAAACCACTATAGTCAAAGCTTGCGTGGCATTTACATTGATCTTCATTTAGTGTAATGTTGCTGTTTGTTATGTTGCAGGCCACAACAACATGTGTAGTATTATCAGCCCCACCTCTTTGTTGCTTTCGGCCTCTGGTACCTTGGCCTTTAAGAACTGTGGCCTCTCTGATGAAGTGTCCACCTTCACTGCTCCAGAGATGCTCCAGAGCCGAGTGGGTGCCACCAAACCTGCTACAGAGAGGGTCAGTGCACACATTTGCATGGTGGTTTAAATGTATAGTGAAATTACTATTTACTACTATTTATTTAAGTATATAAATGTCAATCAGTCATTTCCTGGTTAAGAAAAAGATGACGACAAAGTATATTGAAGATTTAATTGCCACAGAATTTAAGTTGAAGGAACTGTGCACACATGCCATCTAGTGGCTGGGTGAAGACATGTATTCAAATTCTTGGTTTTAAATATGAATACTAGTGTGATGAGCTGGAATGGTATGAAAACAATACAGAAAGGTCAAAAGGTTTGTGTTTTATTTGTGGAATAAGGAACAACCTGCCCTGGGTTAAAGTTATGGCAGTAAAGTGTTAATCCAATTTATCTTGTCCTTATCTCAACCTCTGCATCTTCAACAGATGCTGGTTTACTCACTTGGCATGACTCTCTATTGGTCGGTTGATTTTCACCTACCTCAAAATCAGGTAGGACTTCAGCAAATACCATTTTTGTAATTCACATACAGCTACATATTTCCAAACTGTAATTGTAATTGTCTTGTTTAGCCGGTCCAGTTGAGTGACCACCTAAACAGCCTGCTCCTCAGCATGTGTGAGGACCTGTCCCATCGAAGGACTAATCTAAACTCTATCCTGGAGGCATGTGAATCTCAGCATAAAGCCTCCATCCTGCCGTCTCCCACCCGAGTGATCAGACAGCTGGTGGAGGAGGTCTTTCATGATTCGGTGAGTTTAAAAACTGCACTGTGCTCCTTCATGAGAGCAGTATAAGCCCCTCCACAGGTGTCTGCACTAATCTGTATAAAATAATGATACAAGTGTGCTCCCTGCAGGACAATGGTTCTTTGACAGACAGTAATGTCCCTCTGAGCGGCCGCAGCCAAATGATCAGAGAGAGACTTCATGGTAAGTAGGCCTTTTATGGTTTTACTTAAAGACTTAAACGTATATTGCACAACTTTTCTGGAGGATTTTGTCACCGGCTTGTCTTCATGGAGATGTTATTGAGATGTTATTGCTTTGCCTAGAATGTTCCACAGTAGACATTAAACCTATCTATATCAAGGGAGACAACTATAGTCTACATTACAGGTCAGGTCTGTGGAGAGGCAGCCCTATTCACAGAGAGTTTTGGTATTTTTGTATTTTTGAACAATAGAAAACCCTCTAATGAATAAATGCTAGATAGATGTATTTAATGTCATAGCAATAATATCTCCATGGATGTAAGCAAGTGACATACCCTCCTCCAGAAAAGTTGCACAATGCACCTTTAAAGAGTGTTCTAATAATTTTTAAATGTGTGGTTTTTTTTAGCTAAATAATGCAAATATTAGTGGTATATTCTAATCATTAGCAGTATATTATGTTTACATTTGACTGACTTTGTGTAATTAAATTAAAATGCTGCCCAAACAGTAAGAGCTAAAGAATATGCAGTTTCTGTTCTTTTGATTCAAGACAATGTGCAAGTCAACAGGATTAAGATCTTAGCCTAAAGCAAGTTGAGGATTAAGGTGCTGCAAGAGCCAATATACTGAGCCTGGAGACTCTTAGATATAGTCCGAGTGGTTGTCATGTGCACATCTCAG